AGACGGTACTGAGCCTTGTCCACCACTAATAGGGCAACAAAAAGCATGTGGTTAGTAGAATTTGAGCTTTGAGAGAAGGTGTTAGGTTTGACTCTTCGATCAGTTTTCAGACTTCCTTTCTGATTTGGTATTAAATACTGACAAGTTTATTATTGTAGGGGGTTTTAATATCCATGCTTAAATTAATTGTGAAAGCTAAAATGTAGCGCTTAATGCTGTCTTGAAGACATAATTGGCTTTGTTCAAAATATACATAGACCCACTCATTCGTATCCTCATACTTTGGATCTTGTAATGACACATGGAATTAATTGTGAATCAAAGTATTTACTCTTAACTGTGATCTGTTTTACCACTTTTTATAAATCTTTGAATACCTTCTTCCCCAAAAGGTTTCACTTCAGCTACCTCTATCTCTCTTTGTGTATTTTAAGGAATTATCTTTGAGCTTACCCAGATGATATCTGTTGTCTTCTGAGCTTCTTAACTGACATATTTTCTGCTCTGGTACAAAAACTTTTCAAAACCTTGGTTTTCTGTTATGTGAGGACAAGAAGTTAATGCCTATTTGGAGATGAATAGAAGGTGGTCATAAGGCAGTGTGAAGTATAAATGGTCCGGAGACCCAGAAATATAGCACATCCTAAGGAACCACTGATCGATACAGGATATAGTTTTTTCTGATACTTCCACTTTAACCAAACCTAGAGATCGGTGAACCAGTCCAGGAGAATCAAAGATGCTCTGCTTGTAACTATGCCCAGGGATCAATACAATACATTTTTTTAACATTCTTCTATGTAAATGTTGGGTGAATGTGTTCAGATGAAACACATACTGTCCTTACACCATGCAGAAGGATTTTATTCATTGTTATATTTTACCAGAGGAGAACGCACAGTATACTCTGCGCATATCCTGATCAGGTTTTTGAAATGTCTCTTCCAATTTACTATTAGTGAAATAGAGATTTAGAACAAGACACCCAGCTCTATCCTATGTGAGCTGCTGTGAGATTAAAAACAGACACACTTTCAGAATCCAGAACCTGAGCCAACCAACATGGCAGCTAATAGCTTCAGATTATTGTTCTATGTTTATTATTTTTGGCACTTGGGTCAAAATCCGAGTTCCAACTGATTTGTCCTAAAATCGCAATTCAGTTCAATTCAGTTTATTTAAATAGCAACATTCCACAACACATGTCATCTCGAGGCACATTACAATTCTACCAGATCATACAGTTAAATTGATTCAAAGATTTCAATCTAAGGAAAACCAGTTGATTTCATGGACTCACTGACTTAAAGCCAATCCCTCACACTACGCATGCTTATAGCGACAGTGGAGAGGAAAAACTCCCTTTCAACAGGAAGAAATCTCTCTCTGAACCAGGCTCAGTGTGGACGGCCATCTGCCGAGGCCAAGTGGGGTTCAAGGAGACAGAAGCAGACATACAGAAAGAAGCAGAGATATAAAAGGCAACTGTCAACCAGCTCCACACACAATAGTCCAGACTTGAAGTAACAAATGCATGGACTAGTTTCTCAGCATCATCCCTGGACAAAATATTTCTCATTTTTGCAATATTCCGCAGATGAAAGAAGGAAATTCTAGAAACCTCTTTGATATGAGATTTAAATGACAGGTCCTGATCAAAAATAACACCAAGATTTTTTTCTTTATTATCATAGATCAATTTAATCGCACCCAAAGGAAATTACTGACTTATCAGTTTATTTTTCAAAGGTTCTGGTCCAAAAACTATAACTTCTGTTTTGTCTGCATTCAGAAGCAGAATGTTAAGAGTCATCCAGACTTTCATTTCCCCAAGACATGCCTGTAGTCCATGTAATGGTTTAGCTCTATCTGGATTTATAGACAGATATGGCTGAGTATCATCAGCATAACAGAGGAAATTACTGTAAGCCTTACAGTAATTTTCCTCTTACAGTGTAAGGGATCCAAATTAACATTAAAGGTATTGATGAGAAGAGAGAAGATTGATTTTACTTCCACAGCTTTGATTCTTAACATCTGTTCTGATAAGCAGAAAAAGGGACAAGCTGAAGGTAGAAACAGACTGGGGTTTATGTAGACTTAAGATAATAGCAGATGCTATAAGGAGACGTAGGGTTGATGTAAAGTAGAATCAAAGTAGACGTAGATAGAAGGTTGATTAGATTTAGAATCAAAAGCTGTTTGTGTTTCAGTAAAGTTAGATCTGTTTTTACTTCGGTCGAGCCTCTGTCCCATCTGGGGGAGCAGTGAGTCGTCTCTCCTTTCAAATTTCGGCTAATCTAAATCCAACACTGGCTCGGTAGCCGTCTTTACCTTTGACATATTTCTGGAGTTTACCATAAGCAACCAAAACAAGCTGGCCTTCATGTTCTCCAATCCCTATAACTTCAAAATGTACTCCAACTGGTACTGAGTTGGAGCATTTTTCAAGATGAATGTGTGCAACTGTTCAATGGAGCTCTAAAAGGAGTTTTACAATGACCAGCAGGTCAACTTTGTCAGAGGAAAAGCCAAGTGACATGGCCATCAGAGAAAAACATGTCTGACAGCTAACAGCCTGTCTTGAAGGTGAATATTTGTAACCACTGAGACCAGCTGTTTCTCTTTTTGCACCACCTCTTGATTCATCACCTTTCATTTTAACCTGCAAATCTACTTTCATAACATAACCATCATTAACTTCCTTTTCTTCTGCATTTATAACAGTTATCTATTTTCCAGTTCATATATTGTGAACCAGTTACCCAGCTGCTTGATAATCAATCATCTCTAAAATCTCAAATTCATTGTCAGGGTTGGGAGTAACTGTGTTGCTTTTCACACATAGGTAATGCTGTTGCAGTACATTACTTGAATATATCAGGGCTTCCTAGACAGGACACGATGCTTGCACTTCTGCACTCTGACAACCATTATTTTCAATGGCTAGTGGCAAAACAAACTGCAAACTGCAAGCCTGCAGAAAGCAAAACAAAGGAAAAACTAATCTGTTGTCTATGTGAAGTTGCAGCCGCTGTGTTACCAAAATGCAGGCAAATTGTGGCTCCATCCTGACTCAGACTGCCTCCAAGTGTGAATAATGGACAAGAGGAATTATTTAGATACCCTCACCGGCCACTTTATAAGGTACACCTGTCCAACTGCTCGTTAACACTTAATTTCTAAGCAGCCAATCACATGGCGGCAACTCAGTGCATTTAGGCATGTAGACATGGTCAAGACAATCTCCTGCAGTTCAAAGCGAGCATCAGTATGGGGAAGAAAGGTGATTTGAGTGACTTTGAACGTGGCATGATTGTTGGTGCCAGAAGGGCTGGTCTGAGTATTTCAGAAACTGCTGATCTGCTGGGATTTTCACGCACAACCATCTCTAGGGTTTACAGAGAATGGTCCGAAAAAGAAAAAACATCCAGTGAGCGGCAGTTCTGTGGGCGGAAATGCCTTGTTGATGCCAGAGGTCAGAGGAGAATGGTCAGACTGGTTGGAGCTGATAGAAGGTCAACAGTGACTCAAATAACCACCCGTTACAACCAAGGTGGGCAGAAGAGCATCTCTGAACGCACAGTACGTGGAACTTTGAGGCAGATGGGCTACAGCAGCAGAAGACCACACCGGGTGCCACTCCTTTCAGCTAAGAACAGGAAACTGAGGCTACAATTTGCACAAGCTCATGGAAATTGGACAATAGAAGATTGGAAAAACGTTGCCTGGTCTGATGAGTCTCGATTTCTGCTGTGACATTCGGATGGTAGGGTCAGAATTTGGCGTCTACAACATGAAAGCATGGATCCATCCTGCCTTGTATCAACGGTTCAGGCTGGTGGTGGTGGTGTCATGATGTGGGGAATATTTTCTTGGCACTCTTTGGGCCCCTTGGTACCAATTGAGCATCGTTGCAACGCCACAGCCTACCTGAGTATTGTTGCTGACCATGTCCATCCCTTTATGACCACAATGTACCCAACTTCTGATGGCTACTTTCAGCAGGATAATGCGCCATGTCATAAAGCTGGAATCATCTCAGAATGGTTTCTTGAACATGACAATGAGTTCACTGTACTCAAATGGCCTCCACAGTCACCAGATCTCAATCCAATAGAGCATCTTTGGGATGTGGTGGAACGGGAGATTCGCATCATGGATGTGCAGCCCACAAATCTGCGGCAACTGTGTGATGCCATCATGTCAATATGGACCAAACTCCCTGAGGAATACTTCCAGCACCTTGTTGAATCTATGCCACCAAGAATTGAGGCAGTTCTGAAGGCAAAAGGGGGTCCAACCCGTTACTAGCATGGGGCACCTAATAAAGTGGCCGGTGAGTGTATATTGGCAGGGTCGCATTCATTTGCACGCTACATGTTCTGCTTGTGTCTAATTACTTGCTGTACTAACTCGCTCTTTTTAGTAGACTAATACTTTAGAGAAAAACTAGAGTACTAGTCCTTTAATTTGTAAGAGCTCACCTTTTCGGAAGGCTTTAGTCCTAAATTGATAAGCATCACTCATGTATGTTTTTGTCCCACAATGACATCCAGTAGAGCTCAGGTGGACTAGATTCAGAAAAAGCAACCAGGAGTTCCTTTTCTAAGTATAAAAATGTTTTTGCTGTTGAGGCTACCAATTCAGAATTAGCCGAGAATAAAATAATAGAATAGGTAAATGTTACAGAAACACCTGAATATGACTATGCTCCTTTAACATGTTTCAAATGTTTTCATGTTCACAGTTGATAGAACACTCCTTTGCAAAATTTTCTCCATTTTATCAGTTTATTTAACAACTTATTAGGTCGTAGTTTCAGAAAATAGAAACTGCTCAGATAAGATAGAAAAGAATTTATTACCATAACCATATAAAAAGTACAAAAAGTTCAGTTTCACCAATAAATAGTTCTATAAATAATACGTCTTTCATAAATAACAACATAAATAAGTAATTAAACAACATTGGTCCGTTAGATTTGCTCCAGTAAAAACTCAGTGTTTGTGACTCGCTGTAGACCGCCCCCTGCTGGCGGCCAGGACCAGGTTCCCCAGCCGATCCAGTCTGGTCAGGTGCTTTTTGGTCTCCTTCCTGACGATCTCCCAGCCATCTTTGCTGCCGCCCTGAAGGAACAGTACTTTAGTTAGTACTACTATCAGATGTTGACTTCTGCACAATAATTAATTCTTTAAACTTTTTTTATGACAGAATTTCACAATTAGTACATAATTATCAAATGGAATTGAAAGGATATGTGTTTTTATCACTTTTAACAAAAATCTAAAAAGGGTGGCAGGTTCGTGCATTTGCCCCACTTTGACTTTTAACTTAGTTTTGAATTTTTTTTTAAGATTTTTATTTTACAATATTGTTCCTCTATAGAGTCACGTTTTTGCCCATTCTTTTTTTTTTTTTTTTAACATCTCAAACTCAGTCATATCAACTTCCTTGGTCTCCTTGATGGAGGTTGTTCTCTAATTTTCTTTAAAATCCTAAAGAGCCTCTGCTTTTATATAGCCTCGTGAGACCATTCTGATCTTGCGAGCTTTCAAGGTTTCACTCGCTAATCAGTCTGGAGACTCTCCGTTAAAGAAAATTTGGAGCCGTTCACCAAACGAACGTCCAATCAGCGTTGGCTTTGAGGCGGGTTGAGGTGTGACGCAACGAGAAGCGCGACAGTTCAGTCTAAAGAACATGGCGGCTTCAGCCGATGAAACTAGCGTTAGCGTGGCTATCGAGCAAGTTTTATGGGAATTACAGAGTATTTCTTCACTGAAAGAAGAGCAAAGCACTGCTCTGGAGGCTTTTCTCAGAGGAAAAGATGTTTTTGCTCTTCTCCCGACTGGTTTCGGCAAGAGTAGCCTGGCTTGTGGTTGTGTTTTCGTCGTCGTTCTGTTAGTACGTCATATGCTTCGTTGATCTGATTGGTTTATTTGGCCCGTCTATCACCAACATAGGCCAATCAGCTAACCAGTATTTTCACCCCTTCCCAAAATTACTTCAACGGAAGGTTTCCAGATGGATATGTGGAGCAAATCCATCTGGCAGAGTCAGGTTAGCTTTTATAAGGATCTGAAGGGAATTCAGATTCAGGGTTGGATTTCATTGAAAAGTGTGAAGGTGGCTGAATACAGCTGCATGCCACACTATTCAGATTCTTGTTTATCATTTTTAACCTTCTATAATAATTTTCTTTAAATAAAAAAATAGGTAAAAAAAAAAAAGGATCTTAATGTGAGAATATGTGGAAAAAAAAATCATCAGGCATAAAAACCTTTGTAGTAACCGGTAATAAGTAAGTAATATTTTTATACTCACCAGCAGGGTCTGGTTCTTTAAGTTGTTGTAGTAATGCCTTAGCTGCAGCTTATTTGGGCTCTTACGTGTTGGCTTCACCTAAATAAAAAACAGACAAAAGAAAAAGATTAACAGAGAAGTTAGGCTTTATTTGGGCTGTAGATTTCAGCTGTAGTTAGATCTCTATAAGTCCAATATTCCTTGATATAAGTTTATTTCCCTAATTCTGAGCAGGTAATTTAAACAGTTTGCCAATGGAAGAATATGATTTGCATGAGAAAAAAAATATAATAAAAGAAAACGGCTCCATTCAAGAGTCTATCTATCTTATTCTGAGGACAAAAGTGAAGGTCATAAACAACTATTTGTTACAGAAAGTGACTTATTTTTTAGATCAGTTTGCATTGCAGTTGAAAGAGAGACGACTTACGCATTCATCAAGCTCTCTGATCTGTCTGTGTATGCTCTCCAGGAAGTCTGTGGTTTTTACAGAGTCCCAGGCAGCCGGTGACATGTCGTTGTAACGATACAGATCATAAATCTGCGTCATGCTGTCTCTGATGAAGAGCAGCTGTGATTTAACCTGGAGACACAAAGACAGGTGTGAGTTGCAGCTTTCTGATTGGCTGATAGAACTGATGATGTTAGAACATCCAGAGCATGTTTAAAAATCCACACAAAAACACGCAGATCGCTTACCTGTCTGTTCATCATCCGCTTGTACAGATTGTAAGGGAATTCAACCGGACTCGTCTGGTTTGTAAGTGGACCTCCCTAAAACAGAATGAGAAAACTTTAAATTTCCCAACATCACGCTTTAGAAAACAGATATTTAAGCTGGTTTAGCTGGTATATGGTGAATTAACAAGCAGCAAATTCTTATAGTTATGCCACATCATGAAAAAATAAAACTGCATCAATCCTGGTTCAGAGACATCGATTAAAGACTCACCGCCTTTAAAGCAGTTCTAAGGTAAAAAGACAAATTTGTTTTTTTTATTCAATATTTCCTGTATCTGGGGACTTTTGAAGCCTTAGAGGGAAAACCAAACCACACCCTAACCGAAAAAAAAAACCCTGGGATTCAGTGGCGGTTCTACAAATTTATCCAGTGGGGGCAGGATGGAGCCATGGGGGCATCGGGAAAAAGAAAAGAATATAATTTAAAACATTAAGTGAATCAAAGAGTCATTCGCTGCTCTGGAAACCTCACAAAAAGTAGATTAAAAAATGTTTTCCTATTTTATCATGTTTGCACCGGATAAAAATCGAAATCTAGATACTTTGTTTTTTCTTAAAATAAGTGTATTTTTTCTTGGATTTAGTAGGTAAAAAAAAGATTTTGCCAATGGAACAATACAATTTACACTTACAATGAGAAAACACAATTGCATTGTCTTATTTCAGGTGCATTTTATCTAATTTTCTTATTTTAAGAGCAAAAATACTGATTCCATTGGCAAACTATCTCATTTACCTGCTCAAATTAAGGGTAAAGACACTTAATTTAAGACATTTCTACTTATTTATAGAACCTTTTTCCAGTGTGAAGCTAAAAATACATAAACTTGATTCTTTCACCTTTGCTAACATACAAAAATGAGACGGGCCTAAGAGGATCTATCATACGCCATATCTGTGCCAGGGCAGATTATCATTTAGACTTTAGACAGATTTTATTTGTCATTTTGTTTACACAAGTGTAAAACAAAAAGAAATTTTGTTTGGAAACAGCTCACTGGACTATTTCATCAAAAGTGGAGCCTTAAAAAGTAATGAGTGAAATTTTACAATTCTAACAAATTTTGTATTTATTTTTAATGATCATAAATGTATTTAGCATGCCAGAATCAGAACCGGTTCTATAGGGGCACCGGCCCCTGTCTAGAATCACCTATGCTGGGCTTCATTCAAGTCCACTAGGATTCTAAAAATCCTTTAAAAACCACCATCAAACTTTGAAACATCTGTAAACATCTTGGCACCCCTTTAAAACACATCAATGTATTTTTCTAATATCTACAAAAAATCTCTTAAAAAACTTCCAGAATCCAAATTAAACCTCCTTGTGCACGTAATATATAGCCTTAAAACCAGCATAGAAGCACATATGAATCAGGCATAAGCCTGTAAAGACCCCTAATGAGGGTACTCACCATGACCTCGATCAGAACCATGGAGCTGTTCCTCAGGTGGCTGTAATGGGTCAGCCAATCACAGCACACTGCGAGGGTCAGGACCCTGCAGAAGAAGAAAATAGACGTTGTAGACCTGAACATGTTGAGACCTTTGATGATGTTGATGAGTTGAAATGCTGGGCTGAGATTGTGCTGATCTGACAGCAAACATGCATTTTATCCAAGGAGATAGAAAACAGAAAACAGCGGGAAAGGCCCACTTTCAGTTTTCTCCTTTATTCTTTCTGCTAACCTCTACAGCAGAGCTGTGTGATACACGCTTCAAGGCTTTATTATTTAGGCAGTTAGTCATTGATTGATTGATTTATTCATTTATTCATTTTATTTATTGCTTTATTAATTTGTCTTTTTTGATTGGGGGACTGTCTCTTTAATGTGAGTCGGGCAGGTTTGACCAGTGACTGATTTCATCTGGATCGTTTCCAGTGATTTATTACTTTGTTATAAGCTGCAGTCAGATTAATCAATAACCAATAATCAGCTTCTGTTTGTCAGAAGAAAGTCTGACCCTGGATCCTTCAGTAGGAGCGCCTTCTGCAGTTCCTTAGTTTCCAAACTTCACCGGAAGCATTGTAACTTCACAATAAAAGCAGTCTCTTAGTTTTAAACAGACAAACTAAAAAAATAAAACAGCAAACATTTTAAATCCAAAGAAAGAAGCGCAAACCAGTGATGATTTGGTGTTTCCGGGATGATTCTGATATAAATCTGAATATTTGAATGTTCTGAACTTTGCATCTTTTTCTTTGTCAAACAGAAAGGCTTTATTTTGAAGCTTCGCATCGTTTTCACTCCCCCTTCTCTCTTGAGAAGTGAATGGGGGTGACGTAACGCCGTGACGTAATGTCTTCGTCTAGAAATCTAATAAGATGAAATCATGAAAGTGAAAATGAAACAGACGTTTATCCAGGACGAGCTGCAACCTCATATTCGAAATGTCTTCAGACAGTTTTTCCCTCCTCAACTTTATTATTGCATCATAAAGCAGATTATTACCTTTATATCAGCTGTTGGAACAGTTTGTAATAAAGCAATACCTCATGACTTCAGCATATTTTAAATTTGGTTAAAATAAGTAATAGCGCAATCTTTCCAATAAAGATGCGTTTGGCTCTTGGTTCAGAAGCATCCAAGTTAGACTCACTTGAGATCTGTTAGATGTTGTTTAAAGTGACCATGTAATCAGCAAACTTTCTTTCCTCTTGATCAAGACGCTTTATTTTCCAAAATCAAAACAAACTTAAATTTTCTTACCGCAACATGACGTGACAGGCAGATCATATCGGCTCATTTCGTTGCTTTTTTGCCACTCAAAGAAAACAATAATAATAATCAGAAGCGGTCAAAAACTGTATGGCTGCGCTGACTGAATCCAAAAGCTCAGCCGGCCCCAATAGCCAGCTCCGATATAATCCAGGTGCTGCAGTCACCTGTCCATAATGAAGGGGCGGAGGCGAGAAACAACGTAAATTATGAATGGCAGCAAAACACAACTAAACAAATTCATAATTTCATAATTAAGTCAGTCAACTTATACTTCAAACCAAAATATTGCATGTTCATATATATCGTACCAAAACCAGACAAAAATAGTAAACTAGAAATAAATATTCAATCATAAATCAAGCATTTGGCTCCAACAATAAGAAATAGCCATTTAACTACTTAAGAGTAAACATAAAGTATTTGCATAAAAAAAGCAACTGAACAAGGAAATAAAATTAAACCAGAGAAGCACAAAATGGAGATTTCAACAGCTTTTTTGTTTTGTTTAATACATGTTTATTCTTCCTATTTCATTTTTTTTTATTAATTCATTAATTTTTGCTCAAGTTAGATTAAAACTTCTCCTCAAAGTACATTATTTTCAAATGTTAAATCACATCTATAAAATTCAAAATGTTAATACAATAGAATTATATAATAAACACAATAAATATTAATAAATAAATAGATAAATAAATTATATTGTATAAAGGATGGAGAGGATAAGTTAAATTAAGGATAAATTAATAAATATTAATTAATATAGATACAAAAAAAATTATAAAAAAAAAAAGAAAATTAGCAGTACTGTGAAACCTTTTTGAATGATAAATTAAATAGAGACATCTTCACCGCACCTGAGAGGATATGTAATAATGGCCTGGACTTCTTTTTGATCAATTAGAACTGATCATCTGTAATCACAGCTGTTGTAGCGCACGCGCATCATGCAACTAATAGTAGTCATAGCAACATAAAACAATGCTTGGTATAAATTGATTGCTGTCACCAGACAAAACAAAGTTTTAAAAACTATCACTTTATAGAATGATAATTATGTTGTAAAAATGGATAATTAGATTGTATAACTGTAGCGTAATTATATTTTATAAATGTTAGAAAATGTTTCTGCAGACGTTTTAGGGCCTGTATAGCTTTATTTTGACTGGTGGCATAATTTTAGTTAGTTCATTCATTTCTTCTTCTAATATTTTGCCCTTAATAATGAAATGTAAGTGAGAATGAAATCCTTTGAGGCGCTCCTTTTCCTGCAGAGACGCTTCTCCGCTGCGTCATGGTTTCACAGGATGCGCTTTCTGTCTGCAATTATCTCCATTCAAATAATAAAAAAAAAAAATCATCTTTAACTAATTGAACGAGTATCGTCATCAATGCAGACTATTTTGAATAATTTTCAAATAGTTTTCATAATATAATTGTCACATGTCATTTATTTAATAGCCTGTTATTAAATAATCACGTAAAACCTAAATATCATGTTAAAATATTATAGTTTTCTAAAAAATAATTTTCACTCGTCAAAGTATAAGAAATACGAAGATTTTTTTTTTTAATAAAGATCCGGGGGTGCTCCTTCCTCATCTGCCAGCGGTCTGTTGGATATATATATCTATAAGTTAACGCCGAAGTGCGAAATGACGCACTTTCTTTTCAACGTAATTTAATTTAATCGCAGATTAACGCAGATTATCTACGTTTGTGTTTTGTGGTTTTCTTCAAAGGTCTGGTCGTGGAAACGAATGCGCAACCCTCAAAGAAGCGAGAGAAGAACAGAATAAACCTTCAGTTTATAAACTAAAGAGCATAAAATCAATTAAATGCAATTATTCACTACGGAAGCAAAAGTAGGCAAAAACCTTAAAAAAAAAAAAAAAAAAAAAAAAAAAAAAAAAAATTAAGAACATGAGAAATCGCTGCATTTTAAAATGTATTTATCTATTTTTTTTTTTAGCCTGTTACTAATTAGAAACGACGCGCTCTGAATCTTTAAATTTAAAATAATATTTAGAGGGTCTGCTGACTCTGGATGAATGTTCCTGAGGAAAATCAGAACCTCCTGGTCATATGTATGAGTTTTCCTCTGTAAAGTCAAACATTTCTTATATTTTTAAGATTTTGTATCGAACTAATACACATGAAAACAAGTGAAAGCAGCACAAAAAGAGTTTATACAGGAGGAGCCCTTTCTGTATCACATTCCCCACTGCTGCCTGCATTCCCTTCATTTTACTTTTTATTCCTATTTTTAATTCAATTTTGTTATTTTTTCCCCCATGAAAGTTACACAATTATCTTTAACAGACTCTTTTCAGGACCTTTGCTGAATTACTTTTACAAAAGTTCTGACCCTTCAGATTTATGGTTAAGTTCTGGTGTGATGAGGAGACGTGACCAGCAGGTGGAGACAAAGTCAACACATTCACGTTTTCTTGTTTCTTCCCACTTTTATTTTTAGACAAAAGTTCAAACAAATGTTCAAATCTCAAGTTTAGTCAAATGTTTTGCGCTAACGCTTTTAAAATCTGTTTCTGTTCACGATTATTCTGATCCATCATCAGGCCGGTTGACTCCGGGGAAAAATATTCTGATTTATCGGATCAACATCCGGGTACTTGGCCCCCAGCATTTTTAAAGAGGAAAAAGACAAATGCGTGAAAACACATTTGTTTATTGGCCAGTTTCTTGTGTTTTATCATCTTGATACCAACGGAAAACATAGCTGGATATCTGAGAGGAGAAAGGGAAAGTAGCAGTCATCAGAAAGAAATCTGGACAATAAGCAAATAATCAGTTTTATTATTATTTACTTTTTGGCAGTTTTATTCATCCTTTTGCAACAAACAAGGAGAAAAACAGACTAATATCAACACGAACATAAACAACATTCGACAAATAATATGGTTAAAAAAAAATTTAATCGAATGATTAATCTTATCAATATGGAAAACAAACAAACAAAAAATAAAACATCATGATCGCTGTGTGAGGCGCCATATTGTGAGTGGCATGTTAGTCCGGAAACCCAAACACATCTAGTTGGAAAATTGTTTTTCTCGACAAGGCTGATTTTCAAAGAGCAGTTCTCATAATAACACCTTTATATGTAATTTGGTGACAATAAAGTTGGTAAATCAAGGAAAAATTATCATTATTTGCCAATAAAAGTACTAAAATTATAACTAGTATGTTGATATGAAAATCTGGTCAGATATCATTGTCTAGGCTATTATTATTATTATTGCTCTTATGATGGGTAACTAATATTAGATAATTAATTTCCTTCGTTTTCCTACCTTTCTATGCCATGAACAGATGAGCCAATAATCCTGTGCTGCATCACTATCATGACCAAGCACATCACACATGGTATTACTGTATGGTTTGAATTATTGTCCAGTTTTATTGATACCAATATGTTAAGAAATATGAAACACTTATTTTAATGCAGATACACGGTACATCATAGTCTATGGGAGAATTATCCTGCCATAATGCAAGAGCACATAATTTCAATTTGAGAAAAGAATTTCATCTTCTTGCTCTCAAAACTTATAATGCTCACACTCAAAACATGCGCTCTCTCTCAAATATTTTCTCTTCTCTCTCAAATCTTTGTTTCTTCTCTCAGATTTAATGCTTCTTGCACAGATATTTTTTCCTCTCGCTTGCCTCCTTCTCTTCGGGCACAAACCGCGCTCTGCTCGAGTCTCAGTTACGCTTTCAAACCCGTAGGCTCTGTTTGCGGATTTTTTTTTGCTCTCTCTCAGATTGGATCGGATCGTCGCCTAGCAACCTTTCC